TTTTTTTTTTTTTTTTTTTTGAGACAGAGTTTTGCTCTTGTTACCTAGGCTGGAGTGCAATGGCGCGATCTCGGCTCACCGCAACCTCCGCCTCCTGGGTTCAGGCAATTCTCCTGCCTCAGCCTCCTGAGTAGCTGGGATTACAGGCACGCGCCACCATGCCCAGATAATTTTTTGTATTTTTAGTAGAGACGGAGTTTCACCATGTTGACCAGGATGGTCTCGATCTCTTGACCTCGTGATCCACCCGCCTCGGCCTCCCAAAGTGCTGGGATTACAGGCGTGAGCCACTGCGCCGGGCCTGTCCTCTCTTTCTTGTTTGTTTACTTTATGTTATAATTTTTGAGATGCTAGCCAATAATCTTTGAACTTTTAATTTCTGCAAAACACTAGAAGGCAATTCAGCCAGTTCTTTGCCACTTTATAACAAGGGTCATTTTTCCTCCAGTTTCCAATAACATGTTCTTCTTTTCCATCTGAGACCTCACCAGAAACACCTTTAATGTCTATATTCCTACCAGTAGACCCCTTAAGGCAATATAGGCTTTCTGTAACGTGCACTTCAAACTTCTTTTACATTCTACCCATTACGCAGTTCCAAAACCACTTCCACATTTTTAGGTATTTGTTACATCAGCACCTCATTTCTGGTGCCCAAATCTGCATGAGTTTGCTAGGGCTGCCATAACATATTACCACAGTCTGCGTAAATGACAGAATTTATTTTCTCACAGTTCTGAAGTTTGGAAGTCCAAGGTCAAGGCATTGCTAGGTTTAGTTTCTCCTGAAGCCTCTCTTCTTGGCTAGCAGATGGCACCTTCCTGCTGCGGTCTCACATGGCCTTCTGTGTGTTCACTCTGGTGTCTCTTTCTCTTCTTATAAGGACATCAGTCCTACTGGATTAGGGCCCCAGCCTTATTACTTCATTTAATCATGATTATCTCCAAGTATAGTACCATTGGGGATGAGGGCTTCAACATACGAATTTTGGGGCAACTCAGTTCAGTCCGTAATAGGGCTATTATGAATTAAGCTGTTGTGAACATTCATATGTAAGTCTTTGTGTGAATATGTTTTCATTTCTCTTAAATAAAGATCTAGAAGTATCAGCCTGTGAGACCACATAGTGAGACCCCATCTCCACAGAAGTTTTCAAAATTAGCTAGCATGGTGGCACACACCTGTAGCCCTGGCATCTCAGGAGGTAGAGGCGGGAGGATCCCTTGAGCTCAAGAGTTTTAGGCTGCAGTGAGCTATGATTGCACCACTGCACCCCAGCCTGGGTGACAGAGTGAGACTCTGTCTCTCAAAAAAGAGAGAGAAGGGAGGAAGGAAAGAAGAAAGGGAGGGAGGGACAGAGGGAGAAGGAAAATGGATCTAGGAGTAGAATCTAGGAGATTAGGTAATGAATGTATACAGGAAACTGTTGAACGGTTTCCAAAGTGACTGTACCATTGTTCATTGCCACTAACAATATATGATGAGAGTTCTAGTTACTCCATGTGCTTGTTAACACTTAGTATTATCAGTCTTTTTCATTTTAACCATTCTAGTGAGTATGTAGTCATATTTTCTGCTGTGGCCTCCTTGCTGTTTGACCAGAGTGAGTTTGTAAAAGCATGTCAGGCTGGCCACGGTGGCTCACGCCTGTAATCCCAACACTTTGAGAGGCCGAGGCTGGGGGGGATCGCCTGAGGTCAGGAGTTCAAGACCAGCCTGGCCAACATGGTGAAACCCCATCTCTACTACAAATACAAAATCAGCCAGGCATGGTGGCATGCACTTGTAATCCCAGCTACTCGGGAGGCTGAGGCAGGAGAATCACTTGAACCTGGGAGGTGGAGGTTGCAGTGAGCCAATGCCACTGCACTCCAGCCTGGGCAACAGAGTGAGACTCCATCTCAAAAAACAAAACAAAAGCATGTTAGAGTTAGACGCCCTGTGTCTCTGGCTTAGTCCATTTGTGCTGCTTTAACAAAATACCTTAGAATGCGGTAATTCTAGTAATTGCTATTAATAAATAATAGCAATTTACTTCTCACTGTTCTAGAGGTTGGGAAGTCCAAGATCACAGTGGCACCTGATTCTGTTCTGGTAAGGGCTGCTCTCTGCTTCCCAGATGGCGCCTTCTCTCTGCATCTTCACATAGTTGAAGGGCAAACACTGTGTCCTCACGTGGCAGAAGAGACGGAAGGGCCAGTTTGGAGTCATGGACCTGCATGTTCCCCTCTGACATCCACAGAGTACCCATCATGGTGCTTGGCATGCAGCAGGTGACCCATAGAAGCCTGAATGAACAAACTTATAGTAATGGTCACTAGTACTAGGAATAGCAGCAACCCCAACAACCCTGTGAGGGAGGCATTACAGATGAGGAAACTGAGGCTTAGGAGCAGGAACCTGCCCATAGTCCCAAAGCTAGGGAGGGGCAGGGCTGGGATTCCCACTCCCATCCATCTGGTTCCAGAACCTGAGCTCCTGACCAGGCTGCTCTTATCCTGTCTCAGCCAGTGTCTGCCTGTCTGGACAGATGGACGTATGGGCAGTCCAGCCAAATGGAGGGACACATGATCACCTGTTCTCTAAGTTCCCAGCCCTGAGAGGCTGAGTTCGTGGCCCAAGCTCTCGTTTCTCCTTCCCCAGCTCTCCCACCCCTGGAAGGTGGCGCAAAGTTGAAAAATGTGCAGGAACTAAGGAGCTGGTGTGTTCTCTGATGTGCCTGAAGAAACAGGACCTGTACAACAAGTTCAAAGGGCGCGTGCGGACGGTTTCTCCCAGCTCCAAGTCCCCCTGGGTAGAGTCCGAATACCTGGATTACCTTTTTGAAGGTAAGTCTGTTTGTAAGGTACCCAGTGGGAGGATCTCCATCCCATCCAGGAGCTGTGCTCAGTGGTGCTGCACTCCTGACCATCTGTCTCCCACTTCCCCAAAGCAGAGGGCAGCTCCCTGGGGCCAGCCCCTTTGAGATGGGGCGTGGGACCAGCAACAGCCCGGGGCCATGTCTGGCAGCCTGTCAGGGAGTTAGGGGAGCGCCAGCCAGTGCCAGCAATCTCACATGCACCCTCTGCTAACAATGTTCATTATCTTCAGCTGAGCACCATTTGGGTCATGGACTACACAAGGCACTTGATATGCTTATTCCTATTTTTTATGTTCAACTTCTCTCCTTAAAATCAATGCTTAAAACAAATTCTGGGGCAGGCACAGTGGCTCATGCCTGTAATCCGAACACTTTGGGAGGCCGAGGTGGGCGGATCACCTGAGGTCAGGAGTTTGAGACTAGCCTGGCCAACATGGTGAAACTCTACCTTTACTGAAAATACAAAAATTAGCAGGACATGGTGGTGGGTGCCTATAATCCCAGCTACTCGGGAGGCTGAGACAGGAGACTCACTTGAACCCAGGAGGCGGAGGTTACAGTGAGCCAAGATCATGCCACTGCACTCCAGCCTGGGCAACAGAACGAGATTCTGTCTTTAATAAATAAATAAATAAATTCTGGGTGCTAAAGTATCTTCTGTAGGCTGCAGAAATTTGGGCAGGGGGTGGTAAAGAAGGTAGAAAAAAATGTCCCATGCTTACTGCCAGAAATCACAAGTGTTGACATTGGGTGGGGAGAGCACTTTTTTTTTCAGTCTGTTTTTAATCTTCACAGCAGTCTTGTGAGCTTCATTTCCATCAACCCAAGACACCCAGAAGCTAAGAAACCTGGCAGAATACACCGCTAGTAACCGGCGGACACAGATATAAATTAGATCTTTCTGACCTTGGGCAGGCCCGGGTAGCAAGGGGAGGATAAATGCCCAGACAGTGTCCTCAGAGAGCTGAGAGCTGTAACTTGCTGCCCAGGCTTTTCACAATGTTCAAGGACAAAATAAGGCTTTAAGAGAGAAGAGGGAGGGGCTGATTGCAGGGCAGCAGGAAAGGATGGTAGAGAAGGAAGAAGAGATGATTCTTGTGGGAAGAAGCTGGCTCGGCGGATGGATAAAAGGAGGGAAGGACAGATGGGGAAGAAGAAAGGGAGGATGGAGAGGATGGAGGAGGCAGCGATGGAAAATGGGAAAGAGGGGGGCTGGATGGAAGGATGGATGCCTATGAGGAAGGAAATACACATGGATGGAGAGATGGAGGAGGAAGTGTATTAGTTAAGGTTCTCCAGAGAAACCGAACCAATGGGATGTATATAAATATAATAAGAGGAGGCCAGGCGTGGTGGCTCACACCTGTAATCCAAGCACTTTGGGAGGCCAAGGCAGATCAGGAGTTCGAGACCAGCCTGGCCAACATGGTGAAATCCCATCTCTACTAAAAGTACAAAAATTAACTGGGCATGGTGGCACACACATGTAGTCCCAACTCCTCAGGAGGCTGAGGCAGGAGAATCGCTTGAACCTGGGAGGTGGAGGTTGCAGTGAGCCAAGATCATGCCACTACACTCCAGCCTGGGTGACAGAGCAAGACTCCGTCTCAAAAAAACAAACAAAAAAAGATATAATAAGAAGAGATGTATTATGGGAAACGGCTCATGCAATTATAGACACAAAAATATCCACAATATGCGGTCATATGCTGGAGAACCAGGAAAGCTTGTGGTGTAAGTCCATCTGAGTCTGAAGGCCCAAGACCAGGGGAGCAGTGGCGTCCGAGGCCACAGGCCCTACGATCAGAAGGGCCACTGGTGTCAGTCCCAGAGTCCAAATGTCGGAGAACAGGAAGCTCCGATGTCCAAGGGTGGGAAAGTTGATGTGCCAGCTCAGGAAGAGACAGCATGAATGTACCATTCCTCCATCTTTTGTTCTCTTTGGGCCCTCAGTGGACTGGATGTTGCCTGCCCACAATGGTGAGGACACATCTTCACCCAGTCTACGGATTCAAATGTTGATCTCTTCCAGAAAAATCCTCACAAATGGGCCCAGAAATAATGTTTCACCAACTACCTGGGTATTCCTTAGCCCAGTCAAATTGACACATAAAATCAACCATCACCGGCCAGGCACTGTGGTTCACACCCGTAATCCCAGCACTTTGGGAGGTCAAGGTGGGAGGATCCCTTGAGGCCAAGGTAAGCAGATCACTTGAGCCCAGGAGTTCAAGACCAGCCTGGGCAACATAAGTAGAACTCATCTCTACAAAAAAATAAATAAATAAATAAATTATCTGGATGTGGTGGTGCACACCTGTGGTCCCAGCTATTTGGGATGCCAAGGTGGGAGAATGACTTGAGCCTGGGAGGTCAGGGCTGCAGTGAGCCATGATTGTTCTGTTGCACTCCAGCCTGGGTGACAGAGCAACACCCTGTCTTAAAGAAAAAAAAATTAACTATCACAGAAGGCAGAAGGAAAGAAAGATGGGTGTGTGAGATGGGTGGGTAGATAACAGAGAAGAAAAGTGGGACATCCAGGAAGGTAAGGAAGGGCTGGAGTGCAGGAGAAACAAGGAAGGAAGGAGAGACAAGAAAGAAGGATGTGGCTGGGTGCAGTGGCTCACACCTGTAATCCCAGTACTTTGGGAGGCCAAGACGGGTGGATCTCAAGGTCAAGAGATTGAGACCATCCTGGTCAACATGGTGAAACCACATATCTACCAAAAATACAAAAATTAGCTGGGCATGGTGGCGTGCACTTGTAGTCCCAGCTACTCGGGAGGCTGAGGCAGGAGAATTGCTTGAACCCAGGAGGTGGAGGTTGCGGTGAGCCGAGATCGTGCCATTGCACTCCAGCCTGGGTAACAAGAGTGGAACTCCATCTCAAAAAAAGAAGTAAGGATGTATAGAAAGATAAAAAAGAAGAATGGATGGATGCGAAGAATGGAGAGTAGCTAAGAAGGCTGACCTGCTAGATAAAAGGGAGGAAGTATAGATGAATAATTAGAAAGGAGGCATAGGAAGGAAAAAATATTGGTTAGAAAGGGTGATTGAAGGGAAAGGAAGGGAGGTTAGGATGGATGGATGGATGGATGGATGGGAAGGAAGGATGAGAAGGCAGACAGGAAGGCTGTCTGGGCTAGAAGGATGGTGGAAAAACCACAATAATTGGATGGATAGGAATAAGACATTAGAAGAATAAAGGGAAAAACACAAAGAGATTTAAAATGTTTTAATTGTGTGCCTCCTCCCTGAATTTCTCCTGATTCTTCAGCCCCATATCCCAAGCCAGGGTGACTCTTCCTGCCTTTGCACTTCCTCCACACTTTTCTTGCTCTCATCTGTGGCCTTGGTCACTTTCTTATGGTGGTTTGCATATTTCATTTACCCCAAAGCTTATCCTGATCTGGAGGTCAGGATACAAGGAGGCCTCATCTCCCCATTCCCGTCAGCCCCCTTCCCAAAGCTTGATACCTAATCAGTACCCAGCAGATGTTATCTAAACATGTAAGTAATGGCATCATGAGGAAGCCACATGTTTACCTTGACCACAAACACAGGGCAGAGGTGACTAGTGTGGTCAGAGATCCCTGCTGGCTGGGAATCAGGGAAGGCTGCATGGAAGAAGTGGCATTTTAGTTAGAACTTGAAGGATGGTGTATTAGTTTTCTCTGGCTGCCATATCCCTTGTCACATTGCCCTCTCCATCTTCAAACCATTGGGCAAGACTAGAGGGCCCTCAACAGATTGTCAGTAGGAATATGGAAGTTAAAGACTCAGAGTGCAGAAAGAAATAAGCAGCATTATAGAGAAAAGCTAAATCCCCTCCGAGATTACCTCAATCATCGTGAAGAGCCTGTTAGTAGACACACCGATACTCAAGACATTGCTTCACAAGGTAAGGAACACATTATTGAAAACTCGAGAAAGGGAGACACTTGTTCCGTATTGGCAGAAAGCTTAGCAGAACAGTGTCCTGCAGTCATATGGGAAGCAGAGCTCGTAAATGATGAACTTGAGTGCTTATCTGAGGAGGTTTCCAAATAAAATGTGGAAAGCACAGCCTGGTTTCTTCCTGCCACTTATAGTAAAATGCAAGAGGAGAGAGAGAAAATGAGGGAAGAATTTAAACAGAAAGGAACTAGGACTTGAGGATTTCCGAAGTTCTCAACATATGCAAAAAACAATAAAATTAAGAGATTGTAGCCAGGCACGGTGGCTCATGCCTGTAATCCCAGCAATTTGGGAGGCCGAGTTGGGCAGATCACCTGAGGTCAGGAGTTTGAGACTAGCCTGGCCAATGTGGTGAAACGCTGTCTCTACTAAAAACACAAAAATTAGCTGGGAGTGGTGGTGGGCACCCGTAATCCCAGCTCCTCGGGAGGCTGAGGCAGGAGGATCACTTGAACCCAACAGGCGGAGGTTGCAGTGAGCCAAGATCACGCCACTACACTCCAGCCTGGGTGACAGAGCAAGACTCCATCTCAAAAAAAACAAAAATTGCTCCCAAAAGCGTGACATAGAGAAACAGCCAAGTGTATGATTGTACCAAACCTCAGGAAGATAAAATATCAAAGTACTCAGTCACTTAAAAGGCTCTTTGAAGAGATTAAGTGTATAACTCACAGTGCCCTTAAATCAAACCAGGGGACTTCTAGGAAGCTGAAGAGCATTGTCCCTCAGCCATGTCAGCTGGAGCCAAAGTAGAGAAGGCTTATCTGAAAAAAAAGATTTGTGGACCTGGATTTGTCTAATAATGCAGTGGATTCCCCCATGACATTCATAGGAGACCCATAAAGTTCCTGAGAACTTTACATCCGCAGAAACACTGTTAGCTTGGGCTAAATGGAACACAGAAGGTATGAAATCAAAGAAGGCTGTTGGACTGTCCAGTTTTACTGGTGAGATGCACACTGGTAACACTACTTAGCTGCAAGTACCTGCTACCTTTAGCAAAAAGGAACTACCGTTAGCAACTCAGACAGTGAAACCAGAAGTTCAAAGGGCAGTGCTAAGAGCCAAAGAGAATTTTTCCCAGGCCTTGAAACCTAATGGAGTTTTCTCGGCTGGACTTTCCAGCTGCGTTGGAACATGACTCCATTGTCCCTTCCATTTCCCCATGCTTGAACCAGATTATCTGGAACTGCCATCCTGTGCCTGTCCCACATTTTATGGTTGGGAGCAGATAACTGTAGTTTTGCTGGCCCACAGATGGAGAAAAGCTGTACCCCAGCAGCTGTGCTGTTGGACGATGCCCAGGGTCTATTTGACTCTGATTTAAATACTGTTGATTTGGGAATTTGAGTTGATACTATAAGGAGGTGAGATCATGGGGGACACTGGGATGGAGGGAATGGGTTTTGCATTTGAAAGAGATATGGATTTGGGGTGGGGGGCAGGGGGAAGACCATGGTAGGCAGAGTGAGCCTCTAAAACTGCTCTGCCCTAGTCCCTGGCAGCTGAGAATATGTCAGATGTCAGTATTGCATGGCAATAGGGAATCTTAATTAAGGTTATAGACTGCTATGGTTTGAATGTCCCCTTAAAACTCATATTGACATTTAATCATCATTGTGATTACATTAAGAAGCAGCGCTATTAAAAGGTGACTTAGTCCTTAAGAGCTCTACCCCCATGAACAGATTAACGTCAGTCTTGCGGGAGTGTGTTTATCAAGAATGGATTGTTAGAAAAGTGAATTCTGGCCAGGTGCTACTCGGGAGGCTGAAGCGGAAGGATCTCCTGAATCCAGGAGGCAGAGGTTGCAGTGAGCCGGTATTGCCCCACTGCACTCCAGCCTGGGTGACAGAGTAAGACTGTCTAAAAAAAAAAAAAAGAAAGAAAAGAAAAGAAAAGTGAGTTCTGCCCTCTCTCCCTGGCTCACTCTCCCCCTCTCTTGCCCTCCACCTTCCGCCTTGGGAAGGCCAGCACAAAGGCCCTCACCAGATGCCAGTGCCATGTTTTCGGACTTCCACGTCTCCAGAACCATGAGCCAAATACATTTCCATTCATTATAAGTTACCCAGGGTGTGATAGTCTGTAATAGCAACACAAAATGGACTGAGACATAGATCTTCAAATAGTGAGGTTATCCTGGATAATCCAGATGGGCCCAGTCTAATCCCATGAGCCCTTCAAACTTCCTCCAGCTGGAGGCAGAAGAAAAGTGGCAGGCCGTGGTGCTGGTTTCTGGTTTGACGATGGAAGGGCAATGTGATGAGAAATGCAGATGTCTTCCAGAGCTGAGAGGCTCCCACTAACAATCAGCCAGGAAACAGGGACCACAGCCCTACAGCCACAGAGAGCTAAGTTTTGCTGACAACCCAAGGGAGCTTGGAAGTGTCTTCTCCCCTAGTGGTTCCAGATGTGAGACCCAGAGCAGAGGAACCAGCCGAGCCCCCCTGGACTTCTGACCTAGAGAACCGTGAGATCATAAGTCTGTATGGTTTTTAAGCCACTGTGTGTGTGGTAATTTGTCATGGCAGCAATAGGAAATGCACCCAGATGGGCAGGATCTGCCAGGCCAGTGACATGTGGAGGGCATCCAGGTGGAAGGGATGGCATGAGTGAAGCCAGGTCAGCGATGAGCCTGCCCGGGTCACCTCTCCTCTCTAAGCCTCAGTTTTCCCCTCTATGGAAGGAGAATAGTGATACCTCCCTCCCAGGGTCAGTGCAAGGCCGGAATAACAGGTTATAAGGTGCTAGGTGCACAAGAAGTGTTTGAAACATGCTGGTTGCTTTTCCATTTCCAAGACAGCTCTCTGGTCTGGGGGGATGGAGGCAGCGTGGCACCTAGGGATTACTGACGGGCCCTGCTCTGTTTCTGCAGTGGAGCCGGCCCCACCTCTCCTGGTGCTCACCCAGACGGAGGAGCTCCTGAGTGTCAATGCCACCTACCAGCTGCCCCCCTGCATGCCCCCACTGGATCTGAAGTATGAGGTGGCATTCTGGAAGGAGGAGGCCGGAAACAAGGTAGGAAGCTCCTTTCCTGCCCCCAGGCTACACCCCCTCCTCCAATTCACACTCTGGTTCTCACCCTTCCAGCCTGCCCCTGCACGCCTCCTCCAGGAAGCCTTCCCTGTACACCCCTGACTCCTGGCAGTCAGCCCTTGACTTGTGCACAGTGTGACTGGCCTGTGGCTCACCCTGCCCTTGTCCCCCGAAGAAACTAAGAACAGGGAGAGCATCCTGCCCCGGCACAGTACAGAGGCCAAGAACACAGTAGTTTGCTACTTAATATTTTTAAACATTATTATTATTGTTATCATTTTGAGATGGAGTCTCACTCTGTCGCCCAGGCTGGAGTACAGGAGCATGATCTCAGCACACTGCAACCTCTGCCTCCCGGGTTCAAATGATTCTCATGCCTCAGCCTCCTGAGTAGCTGGGATTACAGGCGCACACCACCATGCCAGGCTAATTTTTGTATTTTTAGTAGAAACAGGGTTTCACCATGTTGGCCAGGCTGGTCTTGAACTGCTGACCTCAAGTGATCTACCCTCCTTGGCCTCCCAAAGTGCTGGGATTACAGGCATGAGCCACCACGCCTGGCCATTTTCAAAAATTATTAACCTTTCCTTTTTTTCTTCTAATAAAATCTGATCAAAGTATGATGACCTATAAGAGGCCTGCTTGCCAAGTCAACAGACTCAGTAGAAAAAAACTAAAAAATACAGATAAGCTCTAAGAAGCAAACCAAAAGTACCCAGAGATGACCACACATCACTCTGGTGCTCATCTAGTTTCAGATTTGTTTTCTGTGTATGCATGCGTGTATATCTGCATTTATTTATGGCAAGGGCTGGCAAGCTTGCCCAAAGAAGGCCAGATAGTGGATATGTTTGGCTTTGTGGGCCTTATGTTCTCTCAGGATGACTCAACGCTGCAGTTACAGCACAAAAGGAGCCGCAGCCAATCTGTAAATAGATGGGCATCGCTGGGTTCCAGTAAAACTGTTTACAGGTCAGGTGCGGTGGCTCACGCCTGTAATCCTGGTACTCTGGGAGACAGCAGTGGGAGGCTTACCTTGGTCCAGGAGTTCAAGAGCAGCCTGGGCAACATGGTGAAACACCATCTCTAAAAAAAACTTGAAGAAAAAAAAAAAAAAGCCGAGTATGGTGAAGAATGCTTGTGGTCCCAGCTACTTGGGATGCTGAGGCAGGAGGATCTCTTGAGCCCAGGAAGTGGAGGCTACACTGAGCCATAATCACGCCCCTGCACTTCAGTTCAGCCTGGGCAGCGTGAGACCTTGTCTTGGAAAGATAAAAAATAAACCTTTTTACATAAACAAATGGCCAGCCAGATTTGGTCCACGGCCCCTTGCTCCGGTTTGTTTCTGCTTCCACTAAGGCAGCGTTGACACTCCTGACGCCCTGCATCCTCCGGATTCCAGGGAATATAGATCTCAATCCAGTGTGGTTCCTGCCTTCAAGAACCTCACAAATATTCCAGACCAGCACTGAATAATAGAAAGAAATACAATGCAAGCCACATGTGCAGTTTTAAGTGTTCCATGTTAAATTAAGTAAAAAGAGACAGGGAAATCAAATTTTAATAACAGATTTTACTTCATCCAATAGAATGGCATCATTTCAGTGTGCAATCCTGATAAAAATGATTGAGATCTTTTACATTCTTTTTCCCTGCTGCTTTGAAATCTGATGTGTGTTTTGTATTTGGAACATCTCAGTGTGGACCAGATGCATTTCACATGCTCAGCAGCCACACGTGGCCAGCGCCTTCTGTATCAGGCGGTGCAACATTTGTAGAGGTTTCCTCCACCCCCGATAGACTGGGAGACCCCAAGATGGGAAGCCCAAGGAATCTGCTTCTCAAAGTAGGGACCCGCAGGCAGACCCTAATGGGGTGCACGCCAGGGTGACCCCAAGTGGCAGGCTGCTTTTGAACCATGGCTATCCCTACCTGGAGACTCAGCTGAAAAGAACTCAGGTTGTGTTGGGAAGTGCTTCCTCAATGCTTAAACTTTAATGCGGGAAAAGAATAGAAGGTTCAGGCAAGGAGGGAGGATCACTTAAGGCCAGGAGTTCGAGACCAGCCTGGGCAACAGCAAGACCTTGCCTGTACCAAAAATAATTTTAAAAAATTATCTAGGCACAGTGGCTCATGCCTGTAATCCCAGCACTTTGGGAGGCCAAGGCGGGTGGATCACCTGAGGTCAAGAGTTTGAGACCAGCCTGACCAACATGGAGAAAGCCTATCTCTACTAAAAATACAAAATTAGCTGGGCATGGTGGCATATGCCTATAATCCCAGCTACTCGGGAGTCCGAGGCAGGAGAATCACTCAAACCCAGGAGGCGGAGATTGTGGTTAGCCAAGATTGCACCATTGTACTCCAGACTGGGCAACAAGAGCGAAACTCTATCTCAAAAAAAAATAAATAAAACAAAAATTACCCAGGTATGGTGGTGTGAACCTGTAGTCCCTAGCTACTTGGAGAGCTCAGGTGGGAGGATCTCTTGAGCCCAGGAGTTTGAGGCTGCAGTGAGCTGTGATCACACCACTGTACTTTGGCCTGGGTGACAGAGCCAGACCCTATTGCCTAAAAAAAAAAAAAGAAAAGAAAGAAACACTACGGTGTCTGCCAACCCCACTCTCTCCTGGCTGTGAAACCAATCCTCACAGCAGTTCTGCCACTCTCTGCGTCTTTTCCAAACAGACCCTATTTCCAGTCACTCCCCATGGCCAGCCAGTCCAGATCACCCTCCAGCCAGCCGCCAGTGAACGCCACTGCCTAAGTGCCAGAACCATCTACACCTTCAGTGTCCTGAAATACAGCGAGTTCTCTCAGCCCGCCTGCTTCTTGCTGGAGGTCCCAGGTAGGCACTAAGTGGTGCAGATGCGGGAACTTTCCCTCTGGACCTTGGGAGCTTCGTGACACCACGGTTACAAGCATGAGCCTAGAGATAGACTCACCTGGATTAAAACCACACTCATTGTGTGTCTTTGGGCGGCTTTGTTTGCACAGTCTGTAGAAGGGGTTTATTCTTGTGAGGATTAAACAGGGTAATGGACGTGAAGCATTCAGCACGTGTGCGGTTGTAGGCAAGAGCCATTGTCGTTTCTCTCATTATTATTTTCCTTCCTTAGAAACCAACTGGGTTTTCCTGGTGCTGCCATCACTTCTGCTACTGCTGTTAGCAATCGCCACAGGGGGTGTGATCTGGAAGAGCCTCATGGGGAATCCCTGGTTTCAGCGGGCAAAGATGCCACGTGCCCTGGTATAGCAAATTTGGGGGTGTGCAGTAGGTGGGGAGGGGTTAAGAGTAAGGGGCTGGGGCTGGAGCTATGAGTTATTCAGATAGAATATTGAGATGGTCCAGACTCTTGGACCAAAATATCTATCTTTGTGTCTGAATTTCCACCATTAGGAATGCATGCATTTAGTCCTGAATAAAATAGCAAATAGGCCCAGGAGGGAGGAGTGCCTTAAGTTCCTTTAAGATAAATAACTTCACCTCTGCTGGGATGTGTCAGGTGGTGGGAGCACAGCCCCCAGCCTTGGGCCTCAGAAGAGATAACCAGAGGGGAGGAGGAGAGGGGGCACCAAAGGGGATGTCTTAAAAGGGTCCCAATTTTTAGTTCACAGTTTATCCCAGGATGAGCTGTGCCTGGCTGACCTTGGCGCTTCCTCCCTGTTCTGCTGGGTCTCTCCTTTAGAATCTAGGGGCCTGCTGGGGCAGGGGAAGCCCAGGAGGAGATATGGGTTGGCCCTGTTCAGATAAGGGCTGGCAGGTGCAGCTTGGGCATGGGCGAGGCTCTGATGGGCATGGGGGCTTTCAGGATGGGTTCTGAGTGTCCCTGCATCATGGCAGGGTGGCAAGGGGAGCATTTCCACATTTCCCAGCTCCAGGGCCTGTGAGAGAACCCCACTAACTGTCGAGATGACAGGCTCGGGTAGATGTATCTGTGCCCTGCCCCGTGCCCTCAGACTTCCTGTTAAGAGCACGCTCGCTGGACTGGCAGCTCCCAGCACCTGCACCCAGTGGGCTTTCTCTGGCCTCTGGAGCCCACACTGCCCCTGCACATGGCAGGCATTAAGTGGCAGAGAATTAACACTGCCACCAGCTCTCCCATCCCTCAGCAATGACGGACAGGGGCTGTGGGTAAATAGCCCAGGGGCATCCCCCTCGTGGGATCGCTCTGAGGTGCGTGTGCCCCCGTGGTTCCCTGAGTCCCCAGCAGGATTAAGTGCCAGGAGCCCTAGGGCTGCCCCCCCAAACTCCCATCTGGTGCATCCTGGGATCACCTCTCAAAGAAACTACTTACACTTGAATCCTTTTCTCAGATCTGTTTCTAGGGAAATTTAAATGAAGATAATTGTGCTTCAGGAAGGAAAGCCTAACTTTTCTGCTCTTCTCTCCCCTCCCCATATCAGGACTTTTCTGGACACACACACCCTGTGGCAACCTTTCAGCACAGCAGACCAGAATCCCTGAATGACTTGCTCCTCCGTCCACAAAAGGAGCTGACCAGAGGGATTAGGACCACGCCGAGAGTCAGGGCCCCAGCCATCCAGCAGGCAGGACGGACAAAGGCACTTGCGGAAGACGAGGAGGAAGAGGAGGAGGACATGGAAGATGGCGTCAGCTTCCAGCCCTACATTGAACCGCCCTCTTTCCTGGGGCAACAGCACCAGGTTCCAGAGCACTCAGAGGCAGGTGAGGTGGACTCAGGGAGGCCCAGGGCTCCCCTGGACCCAGGCGAAGGCTCTTCTGCTTGGGATTCTTCAGACAGAAGCTGGGCCAGCACTATGGACTCCTCCTGGGACAGGGCTGGGTCCTCTGGCTATTTGTCTGAGAAGGGGCCAGGCCAAGGGTCAGGTGCGGACGGGCACCAAGCGCCTCTCCCATCGCTGGAATTCTCCAAGGACTCGGGTTTCCTGGAAGAGCTCCCAAAAGACGACCTCTCCTCCTGGGCCACCTGGGGCACCTTACCACCAGCGTCGAATCTGGTCTCTTGGGAGCTCCCAGTTTCTCTTCGGACACTGACCGTCTGCTGGGACAGCAGCCCTGAGGAGGAAGAGGAAGAAGAGGAGGTGAGGGAATCAGAAATTGAGGACAGTGGTCCGGGCAGCTGGGGGGCTGAGAGCACCCAGAGGACTGAGGAGAGGACACTAGGGCATTACATGGCCAGGTGAGCTCTCCCCCGGCTTCCACCGACTGTGATGCCTCTGCCTTTGCGAGGACTACTGGGCTTCCCAAGAAACTCGAAAGCTTCCATACTTCCCCTGGAGGGCAGAGGGGCATTGCACTTCCAGGACGTCCACCTAGCAGCGGTTTGTCTGCCAGGCTCAGCAATAAGAGGCCCCTTCCTCCTGTGACCCACCGCTTTAGGCAGAGCTACAAGAGGGGTGGACACAGAGTGGGCTGAGGTCAGAGGTTGGTGGGGTGACAGGCCAGGGGGAAAAATTATCCCAGGACAGCACGAAACAGGTGAGGTCAGGTCACAGCAGACATCAAGGGCAGACACCAGCAAGGGGCCCTCTGGAACTTGGGACCTCTGGAAGCACACCCGCTATACCTCATGCCTTTCCCAGCAGCCACTGAGCTCCCCGACCTCAGGGCTCAGCCTTTTGATTCATGGGTCCCCTAGGTTAGGCCCAGATTAAAATCCAGTTGGCCGAGGGTTTTGGATGGGAGGGGAAAGGTGGCTGTCCTCAAATCCTGGTCTTTGGAGTCATGGCACTGTACGTTTTTCAGTGTCAGGCCGGGGTTCAAATCCCAGCTCTGCTGTTCACTGACTGTTGATCTTGGGGAAGCCACCTCCCCTCTCTACCTCGGCTTCCTCGTCTGCAGCTACACCTGGGTGTCGTGAGGGTTCTCGGGGATCTCAGCCATGTGTAGCACGGAGCCCTCTGTGTCCTTGGTGCTCTCTATGTGGTGGCTGGTAGAATTCTCCATCCATCCAGGCTCCAGGAGACCCCTGGGCATCTCCCACCTGTGGCCCCTAAACCCAGAGTGACAGAGCACTCACCATTCAGCCTGTCTCATCCCCCATCTACCTCCTTCCTTCTACCCTCACTGCCTCCCCATCAGGAGATCAAGCTCTCAGAAGCCAGAGCCCCACCCAAGGGGACCCTGGTCTCTCCGCCATTACCCAGCAATGGGAACCCTGCTTCCCGGGGAAAGAACCAAGTGCTCCACCTTCTAGGGACCCAGTTTGTTGGAGTAGGACAGTAACATGGCAGGAATCGGACTTCTAGGCCCATAAGCCCTGTTTGGACAGCACTTTAGACCCTTGGTTGACTATCGAGATCCTAAGAAGTCTCATTCTCCTTATAAGAAACCAATGCCTTCTATTGGTTGCATCACCACCCTCAGGTGACTATCCTTACCTGAGGGTGGTGATGCATCCTCAGCTAACCTACACCCACCTGAATACAAACGAGCATAGCTGAGTTTTCACCCTTAGGACCAAAGTGTTCTGTGGTGGGGAATCTGAACAACCCCGGCTCTGTGATCGTTCAACCTGCCAGGACTAACGTCTCTGGATTTGTGAAGAAGGGATCTTCAAAGCCACTGAAGCCGCAGAGCTGTGTTGTTTTAAAGCCGCCACAAGAGTACAGCATTAAATGGCAGAACTGGAAAAGCTTCTTAGGGCATCTTATCCAGGGGTTCTCAAACCATGTCCCCCAAAGGCCTTGGTGGCAGTTGCACGGGGTGCTACGGGGTTCTAGGAGCCTCGCCACTTTCACCGGAGCAGCCTCACTGTGCCCTGATTTACACACTGTGGCTTTCCACGTGAGGTTTTGTTTAGAGAGGTTCCACTGCCCCAAAAAAAGTTAGCAAACCACTTTCCAATCAAACACCTATCTTGTTTCAAAGGAGCTGAGGTCAAGAGTGGCAAAGGCACTTACCCAAGGTCACCCAGCAGTGCTACTCTGATGACTCATTGTGCACATCTCCAAGGGAGAGAGCTTCGATCTCTGCACAGCCAGGCCAACCTCTGACCCCTTGGCCAGGTCAATAAAATATGAAGGTCACAGCCACGATTTCTAAGGGTCAGAAGGCCTTCACCACTGCTGGAATGGACAGGTGGACACACACACACCTGTGTCTCCCCAGGGGTTTTCCCTGCAGTGAGGCTTGTCCACATCATTGAGCCCAGGAGAGGAAAAGCAAACAAACCACAGATCTGGGGATGGCTGTGGCTCAGGGCCAGCTCCCAGGGAGATTCCCAGACCTGTGCTGATGTTCTCTGTGGAACCCAGCCAAGCCGCTTCGTGGAGGTAATTTCAAAAAAGTAAAAGCTATCATCGGCATCATCTTAGGCTTGTACGAAATAACCACTCCGTTTGTATTCTTAAACCTTACTATTTGTTTGTTTTTTTGAGTCAGAGTTTTCTTCTTGTTACCCAGGCTGGAGTGCAGTGGTGTGGTCTCTGCTCACTGTAACCTCCGCTTCCTGGATTCAAGTGATTCTCCTGCCTCAGCCTCCCAAGTAGCTATGATTACAGGTACCCATCATCACACCTGGCTAATTTTTTTTGTATTTTTAGTGGAGACAGGGTTTTACCACGTTGGCCAGGCTGGTCTCGAACTCCTGACCTCAGGCGATCCACCCACCTCAGCCTCCCAAAGTGCTGGGATTACAGGTGTGAACCACCGCACCCGACCAAACCGACCAATTCTTAAAAAAAAAACAAATTTTTGTTTTAAGAATTATTTCCAGAGTTTAATTTCTGACATAGCTTGAGCTTTCTAGTAACTGTCAGCTCCATCTCCTTTATCGTCATTAAGTCATTCACAAAAAGCCATGAGAAGCATCAGGAAAGGGCGTGAGAATCAGTATAATACTTTGCCTTGAGTGCTCGGCACGTAACTGTTACAAAGCTCTCTCACGTGCACAGCAGGTTGCAGCTGCGTGGTGTGGGCTGGGCCCGCACCGGAGGGACATCCAGTGAAAATTTAGGACTAACAGTGTTAGGTTGTTCTTACGTATTTGTATTTATTTCTACTTTTCTGTGTTTATATCCTATTTAAATGATATCCTAATGCTTGTTGGTATTACCCTAAACTGTTTAAATAAAGAGCTCTATTTTTAGAGAAAAAGGGATAATTGAATGGAAAAGTATATGTGTTTATCTTTTTCTGAGACTGGATCTCGCTCTGTTGCGCGCGCATGTGCCACCAGACCTGGTTAATTTTTTTTTATTTCTGTAGAGAGGGAAATCTCCCTATGTTGCCCAGGCTGGTCTCAAACTCCTGGGCTCAAGCAATCCTTCCCGCCGTGGCCTCCTAAAGTGTTGGTTGGGATTACAGATGTGAGTGACCGTGCCTGGCCTATGCTCTTGTCTCTCAAAAGCTCCTGACCTCTCCTCTGGGAAACCTAGCTGTTAAGACGACAAGGGTCTTGAGTTGAGTCCCCAGAAGCAAACCCAGAGAAAAAGTAGAAAGCCAGAAAGCAGTGCAGCGATCCAGGTAACGCCAGGAGGGGACTATGGAGGCAAGATGGGGCGGGGGGTTGGGGGCGGCAGCCCAGGCAAAGTGTGTCATCAACAGGTCCCTGGTGTGGGTGGCTGGACCTCAGTGCCCCTGGAGAGCTCTGGAAGTCCATGTAGGATGCACTTCAGGTTTGGTCCCCCTGCGAGGGGCCGGAGCCAGGGACTCTAGCTATTCCCTCTCATCATTCCAGTGTGGAGGCCGTTCCCCGAGGCAGAGTTGCAGGTACTTGTGGCTGGAATCCATCAAGCTGAGTGCACAAGAAAGGGGAATGCCATGGGGCTGAGGGCAGGGTTTCCAACCAATATCCCTTGTTGCGGTGAGGCTGGAGCTGACAGGTCACCCAACTGCAACTGTGGTCCATGGAAGGGTATAGAAACAGCCTCTGTGTGCCTAGCCTTGCACGCCCAAACTCATTCCCGTGGCTCTGCGTTATCAAGGGTCTCCCAGTTTCCAGTGATTCTCTCAAGGCCACCTGGTGACTGACTAGCATTGTCCCCGCAGTTGTCACCACTTATTGGTGCCAGGGCAGGCACTAGACCCAAGCCTAGCGGATCCACCAAGTCCCTCTCCCTGGAATTCAGTAGTCTCCCTGGCTGGCTGGGCCTGGAGCAGGTACCTTCCAGCCTGCTATGGCCCATTTCCCGGTCTGAGGAACAAGAAAGTCCTGGGACAAGACAAGAAGGCAGCCACTGCCACGTGGGCTGCCAAGACGGGAAACGATAACTCCTGCTTCCGGCCCCTCCTCCAGGTGCAGCTGCACCCCAGGCCTCGGCTTCATCCCACTTTTAAAATTCTTTTTTGCTAGATAGAGTCTCTTTCTCTGTCACCCAGGCTAGAGTGCAGTGACGTGATCTCAGCCCACTGCAACCTCCACTTCCCAGGCCAAGTGATTTTCGTGCCTCAGCCGCCCAAGAAGCTGGGGTGGGAGCCACCATGCCCTGCTAACTTTGTTGTTGTTGTTGTTGTTTTGAGATGAAGTCTTGCTCTGTCACCCAGGCTGGAGTGCAATGGCATGATCTTGGCTCAGGGCAACCTCTGCCTCCCAGGTTCAACCAATTCTCCTGCCTCAGTCTCCCAAGTAGCTGCACACCCAGCTAATTTTTGTATTTTTAGAAGAGACAGGGTTTCACCATGTTGGTCAGGGTGGTCTCGAACTCCTGACCAAGTGATCTGCCCACCCTGGCCTCCCAAAGTGCTGGGATTACAGACGTGAGCCACCGCACCCAGCCTAAAATTTATTGTTTTTTTTTTTCTGAGACGGAGTTTCGCTCTTGTTACCCAGGCTGGAGTGCAATGGCGCGATCTCGGCTCACCGCAACCTCCGCCTCCTGGTTCAGGCAATTCTCCTGCCTCAGACTCCTGAGTAGCTGGGATTACAGGCACGCACCACCATGCCCAGCTAATGTTTTGTATTTTTAGTAGAGACGGGGTTTCACCATGTTGACCAGGATGGTCTCGATCTCTTGACCTCGTGATCCACCCACCTCGGCCTCTCAAAGAGCTGGGATTACAGGTGTGAGCCACCGCGCCCGGCCCTATTGTTCTTTATTGAAGATGCTCTCTAAACCAGAGTCCTAAGCCACTGCACTGTCAGCTTTCTTTGAGGTTTCTCCCTTGTGATCTGCACCGTGCGTGTTACAGACTTGCTTGTTTTTCTCTTGCTAATCTGTCTTTTGTTACAGGGAGATCTGTCCCTACTGTGAACATTTGAGGGCTGAGAAATTATATTTCCTCCCCCAGCATTTAAGCCAGGGCCTTCTATTACTTGTAACCAAATGTCCTTGCTAATTCACAAAGACAAGGGGACAGTGAATCTACCTCCCAGGTTCAAATGTTTCTCCTGCCTCAGCCTCCCAAGTAGCTGGGATTACAGGCGCCCACCACCACACTCCCTTGTGGCCAGCTTCAGGTATCTGGTCCTTTCCAGAAAACAGGGAAGGACATCCTCTCCAGGTGACCCTCCCGCCCTCCTCCTCCCACTGCTGGGTTGTCAACCCTTGAGCTTCTCTGGGCCTGTCTGCTGCCACCTCCTGGACAGTGGTGGTATGGCAGGGCTGCTGGGCTTGGTCTTACCTGAATTGGGCTCAGGGAGCCTGGAAAGGGGAGGGCTGGGGTGATGGACGTGACATCCTGAAAACTTCCTTTAGGACAGGAGTTGTTTTCCCTCTTGGCACCAGCATCTGGCACAGAGTGGAAGCTTGGGATTGAATAAGTGAATGAATGGATAAGTGAGTGAATTGGTGTATGAACTTGAGTCAGTAAGTGGACGGCTGTGGCTGACTTACGTATAAGGTTGCAGCAGATCTCGAATGCGATGGTGCAATCCCAATCCCAAATTCCTGTTGCCCGTGGGTGCCTGTCCTCCCTCGCCCAGCATCGTGCTCTGAGGGGCACTGGTGCTGCTCAGGCTGGGACTCGTTATTCTCTAATTTACTGTTTCCCATGTGATTTGAGTTTGATCAATGACTGCCTGTGACATCTTCCCTGAGCTCATTCCTGTGTGCACAAAGTGGGGCTGAAGTCATGAGGGCTGGGAATGTTTCTTCTAGAAAAACAGACTAGAAGTTATATCTAAATGCATGAGTCAGCTCCGTGAGTCAGCTCCTCAAGAGATACTGGTTGGGTTCCAGCCCTGGGAGCCACACCCTTGGCGTGTGACGATACAGGACACAGAGGTGTGATGGCTTTATACAAGCTGAGTCTTTTTTTCTTTTTTGACCCCTAACTGCTTCTTTAAGTGGATGAAGAGGAGAAGGCAAGGGTCCCGAGGGGTGGGCAAATACATCAGCATGTGGCTAGAGGCCCCCTCTAGGTGGCAGTGCCTCCAGGGTAAGGCGTGTCCCCACTCTGAGTCTGTTTCTCCGGGTGCTCAACGGACCACCTGGGTAGCCAGAGTCCAGCAGGAGCCTGGAGCCCTCCGCACCCCCATCTCTGAGCTCCAGGCCCTTTCATGAAAGCCCCTTCTTCTAAGTAACTCTAACCCAGCCTGGACGCCCAACCTGCAGGATGCAACACCATTACTTTCTCCAACCCTAGAACCAGGCCTCAGCAATAACGGTCAACTCAAACTTCTCTTTTTTTTTTTTTTTTTTTTTTTTGAGACAGTCTCGCTCTGTCACCAGGCGCCAGGCTGGAGTGCACTGGCGCGATCTTGGCTCACTGCAACCTCCACCTCCTGGGTTCAAACAATTCTCCTGCCTCAGCCACCAGACTAGCTGGAATTACAGGCACCCACCACCACACCCCGCTAATTTTTGTATTTTTAGTACAGATGGGGTTTCGCCATCTTGGCGAGACTAATCTTAAACTCCTGACCTCAGGTGATCCACCCACCTCAGCCCCCCAAAGTGCTGAGATTACAGGCATGAGCCACTGCATGCAGCCTCAAACTTCTAAAGGAATGTTAACATTGCCCTCATGGCCCACACCTGCACACCAGAAGTCTAGGTTTTTGCAAAGGTTTTTAAGGGAACTCATTGGTCCTTGGGTTCCTCATTTTGTAACAGAGGATGCTTGCTGCATGAGACCTCCTTCTCAGAAAGTGTCCAGAGACAGCAACCCAGCAACGCCAAGGAGTGCACACTTATTTTCATTTCTAGATGTGGAAGCTGAGGGCGAGAAGTAAGGGACCCTCACACAGCAGAGAAGTGGCAGAGCTAGAATTCAGACCAGGTCTGTCTACTCAAAGTCCATGTTCCATTCACTTCTCCTGGCTTTTTCTCATAGGGAGCCTGTGAAAGTGCTCTGCCATCCTGGTTGGAGGCACATGATCTTCTTAATGTTTTTATGAAGAAGCATCGCCTTGTACATGCCTTATAAGCTTCTGGAACTTCAAGCTCCCAAGAGAGAGCTGAAATTATAAGTAGAGTCAGAAAATTCTACAATGAATTTATGTTCATGTGAATGACAGTAGTCATGAAGGGGATTCTGGGATGTCAGGGGAGGTTTCCAACACCAAAGTGACATAGAAGCAGAGGCCACACAAGCTGCAGAGGCCCTTAGGAGTCTTCTAGACCAAGCTTCTCCTTTACAGACTGGGAAACTGAGACCTCAAGAGGGAACACGAGCTATTCATAGTCACCTGGAGTCAGGTGCAAGGTTGGGAACAGACCCAGGCTCCTGACCTGGGCCATGTAGTCAATGTCCCTGATTGACACAACCCAGGCCTTGGAGTGAGAAGGGCTCTCTGGCCTCTGCTCTCCAGGAACGTTCAATCTCCCCCTGCAGAGTCGTCAGCCATGAAGACAGCACCCCACACTCCCCGAAGACTTCCGGGAAACAGCCCACTGCCTTTTGATGTTCTTGCTTCTGGCATTCCTGGGTGTTGAGAGAAGCGACAGGAACAGGTCACATTCTTGAGTATTTCACTATAAAATGGGCTTTTCCTATAGCTTGGGGATGTTCCCTACAGTCTTAAGCCCTGGCCAGCTTTCTCTGGCACACTCATTCATTCAGCAAATCTTACCAAGTACCTGCTCTGTACCAGCTCCCACTAGACACTAAGACACCCAGGACAGTGAGCTCCAGGCCTTGTCCCTGTAGTCAGTTCCATGGGGAACACTGTGTCTGTGGTCAGTTCCATGGGGAA